GTTAATACGATTATATAATTTTCAGGTGTACATTATAATTTGACATCTGTATATTCTGTTGTGTTTACCACCCAAAGTCCAGTTTAAGAAATCTTTTTCAAAATAAGACATTAAAAATGAATGTCATTTACATTCATTACAGCCAAAATACATAATAGCTCCAAAAAAATATCTTATTTTGCTGGACAAAAAAGGGAGGGAGGGTGGAGGTAACTGATACAATCACCCTAATTTTATAAGCTCGCAATCTTTAAAAACAATTTTGATGAAATAAACACTTCCAATTTTTTAACACAGAGGACATCTGAGTGGATTTTTACTTCTACAGAAGAGCAAGGGGGAAAATTACAGAGAAACGAAACTCCGTGCTGGTCCTTGCTCTGCCATAAATAGCTTTGTTACATCAAGTAAGTCACTGAGTTCTCCCTGAACTTCAGTTTCATTACCTTCTAAACTGAAGAGGTGGGAAAAAGTGATCTCCAAATACCTATCATCTCTAAAATCATCGGACTTTCTCCTTCAAAAAATGAAAGCATAAAAATCAATGTCATACAGACAAAATGCTACTATTACGCTAGTATTGCTTCTAAATTAGACTGACTTAAAAATCTTGAACTATAGATTTCAAAGCTTTAATTTAAAAAGTTGAAGATTCAGGACTTTGAAAGAATATTTATGTATGTAATATCTTAAATCAAAATAAAACATCTTTTGTAAGGCCAATAATAAAGACTTCTTAGAAAAAATTTCAGAGGGAAGACAAAAATAACTGCATCAACCAATGAATAAATTTTAATGTATTTCAAAAGAAATTAAAAAATTAGAAAATAATGTCAAAAAGATTTTTTCATAATAAGAGATAAACATTTTTTAAGCATATGTATTCTGCTTATTCCCAAATGAAAGTAATTTGGCCAAAATTAAAATTATCAAATTGCGAGACTGAAAAAACATCTTAGAAACTATTACATTCAGGCAGATCATGCCGTAAGCGAATTGCTTTCAGCTTCTCCACTTCAATTTTTGTTCTCAGCAGCTCTTCTTCTAGTTGCTGCCTTCTCTTCAATCCATCCCTCTTCTCCTGAACATATAATCCAAAATTTTTTTGATTTTCTAAAATCATCTGATGCTCCTCTTTCAGCATTTGCAGAATCTGAGGATCATACCCTAATTGTGACCTAAAGTGTCCTCCATTCTCATGTTGAAAAAAATCATCTCTCCTTGGTATAGAAGATGGAGACGATGTCATTCTCATATCAACAGAGGAAAGTGATGGCGACACAGATCTTTCCATAACATGAACTAATTCATGTTCTTCTCTTTGCTCTAAAGTATAACTCTGTTGAGAATTTAAAACCAGTGGAGGAGGGGGCTTAATGTCTTCTTCTTGCTTCACCTCTACTGTAATAGCAACTGGATGGTGATCCAACATTACCTGTAGTGAACTGGTACCAGCCTGTGCTTCCTCATCCAAGTTTGCACTATAGCACACAAAAAAGCATTATAAAATGTAAATCAAATGAAAACAAGAATATATACCATAATTTCATGTTTAATATACATTAAATTATCAAGTTTTAAAAATATAAAGAAAATAATGAAACAAAAAAATATTTAATCCTTGGAATAACAGATGAAAAGTGACTAAGTTTAGAATTTTAATAATATATGCATATAGCTCTCTCTCATCCTTAACTTTAAAATCAGGCTCTAAAAAGGACAAGAAATTACAAATACTACACAAGGCCAAGGAGGTAAATAAAATAGAACAGCCATTTTTAATGCTCTCAGACACCAATTGTTCCTACAAGCCTGATGTTCCTTAATGGTAGAGAGGGCCATTTAATGCATTCTGGGCCTTGCTATCCTCATACCTTAGCCCTCAATCTGCTTTTGCTCTCCTGGACTGATCTAAAAATCACCAAGGTCCAAGATTTTTAGAAGGACAACAGAAGGCCATCTATGGGAAGTAATAATTTCAGTATTTGTCAAAAAAAAAAAAAAATCAAGATTTTGTATGGCTTTCAATATGCCTGATCATCAGGGTTATCTTAACATCCAATTTTGGATGCAATGGTGTTTATTTTAGTCTTACCTATCCTAAACCACATGACTCAGTTGCCCTTTCAACCACTGGTCAGGTAACGTTCACAGGCCAAGCATGTATATCCACCATTGTATCCCCGGCACCTAGAATAACACTGTACTGTCTACCACCATGTCACCCTGAACTGTCTGGATCCTGTCTGATCTCGGAAGCTAAGCAGGGTCCGGCCTGGTTAGTACTTGGATGGGAGACCACCTAGGAAGACCAGGTACTGTAGGTGTTAAAAAAACAAAACAAAACTGTACTACCTAGTAGCTGCTCCTCATATGTTGATTAAAGAAAATGGTCATTTTAATGCAATGTTTTTAAATGGCCTATATACATCTATTGAAAGTTTATTAAATTTATATGTAATTTCCATAAAATAAGCATTCCTACCAGAGGCTTCTACAGTTTTAGCATAATTTAAATTTTGACAGCGTTCTTCCGCAGCACATATACTGAAATTGGAATGATACGAAGAAAATGAGTGTGGCCCCTGCACAAAGATAACACATAAATTCATGAAACATTCCATATTTTTAAAATATATTTGTGAAAAAATTACATGTAACTCTAAGTTTTACTCCTAACGTAAGTATGGTTGGGAAAGTATTCTATTTTTATACTTGCAAGTGTGGAGAACAAAATGGTTCTTTAAAAATGAAGAAATATATATCCGATCTGTATTTTATGTGCAACAGAATTATCTTGCCATGCGTTTTGTGTGTATGTGTATGTGTGTGTGTGTGTGTGTGTGTGTATTCACAAGGTGATATCTGTATGTAAAACGATAATGGCAAAGTAAGTAAAAAAGCTTTTCAAATTAAAAAAAATCTTTGTAATAACTATTTGTTATGACATAAATACAATGTAGCTTAAAATTCTGTTTTTTAAAAAATAATTTCATGTGTAACATGAAGCTGTTAATTAAGAACATATAATTTTGTTTCTTGAGAATTTTTATTTTATTTTTACTTCTGTCTAACTCAAAAATAAAAGTT